AAAGGATCAATCCATCTAAGTATCCACAGAGAAATACCAATATCATGTAACGATGAGATGATCAATATTGATTTTTAGTAAAAATAGAGAGCTCACATAGGCGTGCGCAGACTTTATTCGCAGGTTATGCAATAAGGAAAATAGGGCCCCCTCACAAATTCTAATCTTTCCTTAATTTATTCTAAAAAACAATTCTAAGCCGTTAAACATTTTTTTTAACACATATAGGATTCAATTTACAATCTAAGTTTTTGAAAATATACTACTTAGCTTTTATGCTTCCCTCGGAATCTGAAATCACATAGTTTTACAGTAGAATATTAAACAACGCGCTGTAGAAATAAGTAGTTTGAAATTTGAATTATATTTATTTAAAGAAAATTTGATCAAGTACCTATATACTAGTATGAATATTTTTGAATAATTTGTACATATAAATAATGTTGTTATTTCACGGAAAGTACTTAAAATCAAAACTCAAAAGTTCAAGTCTTCTTTTTATCGGCACACATGTTTTAAATTCATCTATCACTTATTCAATATTTATTTCTGATGCCATTTTTTGTTCGATAAATATTAACATCAGTGAATCAAGACGTTCTTGTGACATAGTGTTTCTAAGTTTAGACTTCACAATGGACAATTTGGAAAAGGCCCTCTCACACGAGCAGCTTGTCACAGGTATTGTGGCAAATTGTGTTAATGCTTTATTGAAGTTTCTAAATGTTGTTTTCCGGTCGTTTTCTGATAACCAATTCAGCCACGCTACAATTGTTTTAATTGATGACCCTCTAATAGAAGTTGTATCAGACATATTTTTAATGAGCTTAATTTCAGACTCAAATGTAGTATCCAAATTAAATTTTTCTTTTAACATTGAAATATCATTACTATCAAGCTTTAATTGAATTAAATTTCCTGTAGCATTAATTAAATTTAAAGTTTCTTGACTGAAACGTCTTTCTATCCCAGAAAGCATTTCATCTAAAGTTGGATAAAATACAAACCATTTCATTTCGTCCATTTTGTTTTCCGCAGTAAAGTTAGAAGAATTTTGATCAATTTTAGCAGATAGTTTTCTTTTTTTCACTTCAGGTATTATAATTTTGTTTTCTTTACAAATCTTAATAGTTTCTTCATATACATCCTTAAAACTGTCATCGTCCGTTCTGAGGTTTTTTAAAGATGACTTAAGTGATTGGACCATTGAAACAGCTGTTAAAAGGTCCAAGTCAGACGATTGTAAAGTTGAACTTACTTTTTGCACCAAAAGTAATATTGGATTTAGCATGTTAAGGGAAAATATGAAATTAAATGTTTTCATTTGTTTTATAAGGCCACTTGATTTTACTTTAATTTCCGATAAATTAGAAGTCTTCGAAATCTCTGACAAGCATTGAAGGAGGACTGAATAATTATTTTTCACTGCTTGAATGGCTTCCGCTCGACAAGCCCATCTTGTTGTAGACAAAGTTTTAAGTGATTTTAGTTTAATATTCATTTCTTTGGATACCCTTTCTAAAATAGCATGTCTAATTGGACTACCTTCCACAAAACTATAAAGCATTTGAATAATACCAAAGAAATTAAATATAACATGGTTTTTTTTTCCTAACGAATCGACGAGTATTAAGTTTAAGCAATGTCCATAGCAATGAACATAAAATATATTAGGATTTGATAATTTTGCTTTGGCCTGAACTCCGTTATAATGGCCAGACATTGTTGCAGCACCATCAAAACAAACAGCAATAACTGATTGCCAATCTATCCCGACCTGGTTTGTGGCATCTGTAAGAGCATCGAAAATAGACTGCGCATTTACTGAAGACATTTTTTTAAGCCCAATAAATAGCTCTTGTGGACGATTTTCATTTTCATCAAAGTAACGAACACATATGGAAAGTTGTTCATAATGACCACAGTCAGTTGTTTCATCAGCAATTATTGAGACAGTCCGATTACTTAATTTAGCAGCAATATTTCGTTTCAATACATTATGAATAGAAGTAATGATATCATTTTGGATATGATTACTTAAATAACTAGAATTTTTGGGACAATTTTGTAAGTGATCATTTAATACTGAGTCATACTTTTTTAAAATATTAATCATTTCTAAAAATAAACCTTTAGAAACACTATCTATTTTTTCGTTGTGTCCCCTAAATGGCTTACCATTTTTAGCTAAACATAAGCTTATATCTACTAAACGATGCATTATATTCCTATTGGCTAAGCGCTGCATTTCTCTTCTTGAAAGTTCAAGCTCTTGGGATTTATTTAATGCAATGTCAATTGATTGAGAATTTAAAAAAAATGTCATGGATGAAGTACTTCTAATGTGCGATTTAGACATCTAATGAGTTTTGAAACTTGTAGTTGCCACATGCCAATTACTAAATCCAGTTTTAGAGAAAGTTGTATCAGCCTGTCCTACATTTGATCCAGAATTTAAAAACATACGGCAAGGAAAACAAAAGGCTTTATCTTTTGATACACTGTATTCAAACCATTTAAAACAATCATACCATTTTTTTTGAAAGCTTCTATAATTTTGACCTATTTTTGTCCTGGGAAATAATTTAATATCTGGTTGATATGGACCTCGAATAACTCTTTCTTTTAGTTCAAGTCGAAATGATGTAAAAACATTTGAAGGGTCGTCAGGGTGAATTAATGGGCCTGAACTTGTACACTGTGTTTGATTTATGTTGACTATAGTGCCTATAATTTATAGTTACCTTAATGTTAGCAAATAGAAAATTCAACAATGAAAATAACAACATAAATACCTAGCACATATATTCTATATCTAAGATATCAACCACCAGGACAATTTCAAATGTACTATGTACCTACTATTAAATTATAAAAACAAGCAACATAAGAAGCTATATAATATGTAAATATAAAGTATGGAGAATATTAGATTAGTACCTTATAAAAAATAGTACCATAAAAACAATGAACAAATAAATCAATTTTTAATAATTTATTATAAGTAATTATTGATTAGTATACAAATTATAAGCTACAATGCTACATACATACACAATTAATACACCAGTAAGTTAATAATACAACATTTCACTTAATTTAAATACACTGATTGTCTTATAAGTACCCACTACAAACAAAATAAAACACATATTAAATGTTAACAAAAATGACAATGAACAGTTAGTTAACATATCATATTAACAGATAAATTAACTTTAAATAACATAGACACATAGTTAACACATTTAGACATGTTAGACGTTAGTATACACTTAAAAAAAAAATGCTTTACCTTGGTCTCCAGTAGAATCATCAACAGTATCAAAAGGCTTTTTTAGAATATTTTCATCTAGAATAAAATATATTAAAATTAGAGGTTAAAGAATTTAGATAAATCTGCAGTAAACTAGTAAAACTTAGTTTTAACTTTTAAGCTCTAGTAAGATTGCTGTGCAGACTTACCAGCAGATTCCGATGGGAGTTCTGTTTCAATAGATGTATTTTCTAAACATGAATAAAAAATAATAATAATATTATTATAACAGATTAGTTTCAATTAAAAATGTGAATTGTTAAATAAATGTTAAGTGTAAATGTTGATTTCACATAAATAATTAAATAATGCAGATATCTGATATATATCATATATTATTATGTTAGTAAAGCATTTTTTTGTCATTTAGGTACTAAGGTAACAAGTATCATTAAGTATTAACAGTAAAAGACTTTTATAGAATAACTATATTCAAATAATTAATTAATTTAGTAATTTAGTTATATTTAAGTAAAAGTAAAATAATAAAACATATTAATTTTAAGTTCTAGAAAACTTGTTTGCAGTGGTGCACTTACCAGCAGATTCCGATGGAAGTTCTGTGTCAATAGATGTATTTTCTAAGTAAAAATCAAATAATTATGTTATAACTAAGTAGATTCAATTTAAAAAAATGTTAGTTATTAAATTAACGTTATTCATAAAATGTTTATTTGTTAGGAAAACAAAATATTTTACTTACCATTTATATGTAAGATTTATGTACAAAACCTGTCCAGAGACCCTCGGATCTTATTTATTTCTTCATTTTTTTTCTGTGCTTTTTTCCTTTTTGTGGAACCACTAGGGTAATTATTGGTCTTCTGAGACATTTTAAATTTTAACAACAGAACTTAATAATGTCAATAAGGAATAAATTAGTCTAAACACTCTAAACGATTAACGAATTATGTCAAAAAACATCGGCTCGTCGAAATACAGTTCAACTTTTCATGGTAAACGGTCTATTGTCTATCAGTAACGTTTGGCGGTAAAATCACAGATATGAGATAACAAAACTTAAAGCTTATCTATCCAACCACTAACCAGTACCATATTATAACAATGATAGTAGTATCTAATACTTATTAAATTATGCCATGATTACACATCGATGTTGACATGATACCGGACTCAGTTATAATAATAATATGGTCTTTGATTACAAACTATAAAAACAATAATAATTATTCTATTCTTGCAACATAGATAACAATATCTACGTGTTACGCTTTAGTGTATTAATATTTAATAGTTAAGATTATCTTGCGGGTCGCGAGAAAAGTGAAAACTAAAATTTTTATTATTTTTTCTAATAATATAGAAGATATCAAAAATGATTTGGTATATCATATATGGGCCCCTCACATAAAGCCGCAGACTATGCAGCGGCATACCCTGCATACCCTGTGCGCACGCCTATGAGCTCATGTACTGAACAATAACCTGTACTAAATACTTATTATGTTTTTAGATTTATTTATTTATAAGTAATGCAAAGTTGGTTGAATTAAAGTA